TGGAACTCCGAAACTACACACTGCACTGCACTTGAGCGCTTGATTGCAGCACGAAGATGGCATGACGGTGCTGGCAAACGCTGAGGACTTGGCCTTGGATCTCCAAAAACTACACACTGCGCCTGAGCGTTTAGGGTTTAGGGTCTAGGGTTTAGGGTTTAGGGTTGAGGGTTTAGGGTTGAGTTCTCTCGTGCAACCTGGAGTAGGTACACATGGCCAATGGGAGCTGCTGTAGCTGTGCCAAGACTCGCGGGCTGCAGAAGCCTCTCGCATCTCCTTTTCTCGTGTCTTGACTGTTACGTCTCATAAAGCGGCTGCGTGCAATCTATACAAATTGAATTACCTTCGAGCCAGTCGCGCTCCTCTGTCGGCAATTCCTCCAGCTCACGTAGCCAAGAGTTCGATGTCAGGATCATGGCGACGTTGTAGACGTACACACTGTAGGTGAACATGTTTGTTCCAAAGTGAGCGAGCGTGACCTCTTCGGTAGATCCCTGGAAAAGGCGACGGTTGCTGAGCACCATGGCCGTCGAAGCTTCGTCATACAAGATGGCGCGATGCAGCAAATTGTCAAAGGCACGCAAGTCAGGCTGACTCACTCCACAGCAGTTGAGTTCTAACGTCTCGCGATGACCGAAGAGACTCCGGGCATAGATCGTTTTGCCAAGCCGCGTCGGCCCATTTAACACTAAAAAGCTCCTTCTGAACATGGGTCGGGCGAACTGAGGAAGGAAGTCGCGCTGGACCTGCTCGAGCACGACGGCCTTCTTCATGAGCGGCTGAAGATTCTGGAGATTTTGTGCCTTCCGCACTTGGACGGCCTGTGTCTGCACGCACTGGGCATGGAACTTCATGTTGTCTAAGTAGGCTTTCACGTGTTTCTTGCAGCGCAAGTACTCCTGCTCCGCAACCTGCTCCGTGATTTTACAGGCCTGCCATAAGTTGGTGATCCAATCCGGCGCAACAGGGAAGGTGGTGAAGGCTGCTGCTGTCGTCGTCATATGAATGGAGCCAGTCTTTGGCACCTGCAGGTAGTAGTGCCCCTGGTCGTATGCCTTTCGGCAAGCTTGCCCACGGGCTTGCTTGCACTCCACAGATTGATGCGGAACGGCACCACGAAACGACAGACTGGGCTTCAGCAGCGTCACTGTCTGTCCTTGTTGCTAAAAGGGGCATGAGGGATCATCTGGCCTACCATGAACACTGTTGACGACAAATCCTGTTGTATGTGGCGGAAGTATTCACGCTCCATCAAGATTTCCAAACACAAGGGGACATAGGACGAAGAATTCAGAACTTGGATCTGGATAAACGTTGAGAAAAACTGCGCTGGCAGCCAAGCATCTGGAGTCAAACATGAGATGGAAGTGGATGCTGGGCGTCAGCGTCTCCAGACTCACAGCCGTGTGCAGCTCACACGCAAGAGTCAACCGATCCATCTTGCTGCTTTGCCGTAGCTGCTCGGCAAAACGTTGGAAATCTCCCCAGAGGCTGGCAACATCGGCATTGTCCTGCAAGAGGCGACACACATCGGCAATCCTTGCGGCGCCTTCTGCCAACATTGCGCTGGCCCTGTCATCTAGGATCTTGGACCAGGAACCACTGTATCTGAACATTGTGCCAGAACCCCGATAGGAAGGCAGCGGCTGCTCGTTCATGACTATAGGCTGTTCTGCACGCCAAGCGGCCAAAAGAGCTCTGGCCGCTGCCATGAGATGCAGGGGAATTCGGCCCCACATGGCCTCTAGCAATGGAGCTCTCTGCTCCACATTACTAAACGCCACACGCAGGACGTTACGCCGCACATGCCCGTGTGAGCCTTCCTCGACCATGCTCCTCGCCACCCACGCATCTCGGACCAAGGTCTGTACCTGCGTCCGCGCTTCCCTGGTGTTTACCCCGTCCGGCGGACTCTGCTTGCCTTGCAAACGACGACGTTTTGTGGGCAACATGGCTTCGGCAAAATGCCTGGTTCGCATGCACGGTGCTCACCAATTAGAAGCAGGCTACGGCTTCAGGACTAAAAAATCTTCATGATCTCTTGGCCTACGACATCAAACATGGGAACATATGTTGCTCCTGAGAACTGAGGACGTCTCTGGTTTGGAGGGTCCCCTTGGCAGGGTGACTACCGACAGACCCTGGGATTTAGACGCTGCTGCTTTGGCAGGATCCCTCATGACATGAAACAGCATTCACTGTTTAAGCCTGCGAAACGCTGCGCAGGAACAGAGCAGGACCCAATCTCGACCTACCTGGACCTGCTCTCCTTGCAGAAACCACAACCGCAGGACCGCACAGGACCACGGCAGACCAAAACTGCAAGGTGACACCTGGGGTCCTTCAAAACCGCGGTGGGAGCATAGAATTATTACTGAATAAAACGATTTGCAGGACCACGGTTTTTTCGAGGCTTTGCGCTTTCTAGTGGTCTCCGGGCCGTTTTCCAAGAGCTGATTACTAGTGGTCTCCAGTCCGGTTGCGTCTCATCACAGACCTGCTTTTGCAAGAAACGTCTTCGCGGTTCCCAGAGACTCCAAAACCCCTTAATTAAGGAATATACCTTACATCCTATTAGGGACCCTAATATAATTTAATGTACATTCCTTAATTAAGGGGTTTTGGAGTCTCTGGGTTTAGGGTTCAGGGTTTAGGACTGGAGGGGGCGAGGGCCTGGGACGAAAGCTAGTTAAGGTACCCTGACGGAGGGGGACTTTCCAGCACCCTTATTCCTTTTCTCAATGGCACAGGCACAATGCGAGCAGCACAGAAACTACAACGCAACCTAACGCTCCACTCCTTGTTTCTTGGCAGGTCGTTCAGCTCGTTCCTGGGCTTCAGCTTCGGATGGCACGCCAGTGACACCCTTGACGTCACGCAGCCAGGACAAAAAAACTTCAGCTCGAACCATACCTCCTTAATCTCAACGGCTGACTCATCGGCGATCCATTCTTTGACGGACCTGTGGTAACACAGGATCAATCCCGGCTTGATGGCACCCGGAAATTGCTTCGATTGCTTCACTGAGCAAACTGCCCCGACATATTTCATGACAATAGTCGCTCCGCAATCGTACGACGAGTTTGAGTGGTCAGCTGTGCCGTAGACTCCTTGAGGTGAGCAACCCGCACTGTTTCGGATGAAGTTCTGCTCGAGAATATTCCAGCCAGCATCGACAGAGGTGCAGTGATAGATGTCCTGAGACTGCATTGCCTGCTCCCCAGCCGACGAAAACCAAGTTCCATCATCTTTCCAGTAGCCGCCTGAATGCTGTATTGCAT